AGCAACAACAGGGTCAGCGATGGCTGTGCCGGGGAGCCACAGAGCTCTTCCCATCACTCTCAGGCAGCACTTCAGCCTTCCCAAGAATCCAGTGACCCCTGCCTTTTCAACAATTCCTACTCTGCCAGGCCGGTGCGTGTGGTTGCTGCGTGCCAGGAAGGGACCAGTGGTGCCAACAGAGCTCTGCCCTCCACCCCATCACCTGCAACCTTGGAAACGCCCCTCCCAGCTCTGGACCTCTGCTTCCCTTCCAGTATTGAGAGGCTGATGCAGGGCCAGCCCCACCATCCTAGGCAGGCAGTGGCCTGGCTCCCTGGCTCCTGGCTGTGACAACCTTAGCCCTGTCTGCCTAACAGAGCCACACTGGCCTGGGCTTCCACGCCGTCTCTGCAGGTAGCAGGGGGGACTTTTGTTCCTACGTCTGTGGTGGCAGGCATGTGTCATGCTTTCTTACCAAGAGCACCAGGAGGTGATGCAGGTGGGGGGCCATCTAGGCCCCACGGGGCTCACAGCACAGTGCACATCACCCTCTTCAGATGCCCCGGCATGGCGTGGGCTTCAAGGCAGGCAGGAATCACTCAGGGACAGTCCTGACTGCCCCCAGGGCTTCTGAAACGCTGCTTGGGCAGGAGATGCAGCTCAGTGGGGGAGCTGAGGTTTGGGTTCGAGCCCCTCAAAAGCAGGCCGGGTGTGAGCTGGGTGGCCACTGAGGCATCTTCCAGGCCCTTCCCAAAGTGAGCACTGGAATGAAGACACTGGAATTCTAAGGAGGATTCTTCCTCCTTTAAGACAGGACACACCAGGGAGGATGCTCAGGTGTGTCATCGGGGACATTTGACTCAAAACCACAGTTTCCACTTCACACCCACTATGAGAGCTAGAATTGAGACAAAACAAATAAACAAAAAGGGAAATTAAGTATTAGTAAGGATGTGGAGACACTGGGAGCCTCGTCCACTGCTGGAGGGAACGTTAAGTGGTGTGGCCACTACACAAGATCGTTTCTCCACATCTTGAAAAAGCTGGAGGTGGTCACCATGTGAACCAGCAGTTCCAAATCCAGATGTCTACCCCAAACCCACCAGCTGGCACGTGAAGATCACACTGTCACAAGCACATGCAGTGGAACATCACTCAGCATACAGGGTGAAGGCTCAGGGGACCCTCACTGTACTGCCCAGTGAGAAGTTGGACATTGCAGGTAGTGCCATGTGGCCTTGTAGACAAAACATCTAGATAGGCAACCTCTCAGACAGGCGGTGGCCGGGCTAGGCTGGGCTGGGGTGGGATACGACCGCTCATGCTGTGGGGCTCCTCCGGGTTGATGGAAATGATGAGGACCAGGTCGAGCTGGCGGCCATCCCCCACCATGAGTGCGCTAAGTGCCACAAGACTGGACGGAACTGCTAACTTCTTGCTGGCGATGTTTTGCTCCATTTAAAAGAAAAGTTGTCACGGGGCCCTTTGGAAACGTGAACAGGAGACTTCTGCAGGGTAAGCTCACAGGCCATCCCCAGACATTCCTTTTGCAGGTCCAGGCTAATCACTCCACTGCTCCGTGGCAGAACCGTAACTCACACAGTCTCCTCTTGGGCCCTAGGGGAGTGTGTTACTCTTCCCTTCTGAAATGGCCAGCTTGAAGGGTGCACTTTCCAGAAGCAGAGTCCAGATTCCAGCCTGGTCCTACAAACCAAGTACATCTGCTCTGCACCTGTACTTGCCCACACAAGTCTGTGGCCTCCTGCTTTGTCCCTGCTAACCTGTCCCACCACTCTGGGGCTGGTACCCCACAGCGCCTTTTTCTGGCTGTCCACCAGGTGGCAGTGTAGTGTTAAGCTCACCACCCCTCCCAGTCAGGGCCAGGGGTGGGCAGAGTGGCAGGACTGATGCCAGGTGAGGGGCCATGAGGCTAAAGCTGGGTCTCCCACCAAGCAAAGCCTATTCTAAAACCCAAATGCACTGATGCTGGGTCCCACACCTAGGCTGGAAGCCCCAGGGTAGGTCCCTTCCAGCACAAGCACCCTCGGGCTCTCCTCCTGGGACAACAGCCACTCAGAGAACCAGACCTGCCCCAACCACAGGGAAACACTTCCCTTGAAGGTGGCACTAAGGCCCTGTAGTAGCAAGCTTGTGTCCCTGCCGCAGTCTTGGCTTCTATGTTCCTGATGCCGAATCGAGAGCACAGGGTTTTCCTGTGGGAACTCTAGGAACCAAAGAAGGAAGGGAAATTACAACAGGGCTCTGGGGCTCTGAGTCCTGAGGCACAAAGGACTCTGTTGGCTCCTGCAGCCACAAGGAAAAATCTCCAAATCTGGGTGAGAACTAACAGCAGACTCCAGGGGCGAGCTGCCAAACCTTGCAGTATTCTTCTTTCAGCTGACAGCAGAGAGACGTTTGCAAAGGTCACACCAAGTGGACCTCCCGAAACTTGAGGGTAAAATGTTGTCCGAATTCATTCAGAGGTGCTGTTTTCCCCCTGGGGTGGAATATGCTTTTCATCTGGACAGCTAGGGAACAGCTGAAGTTTTCCATGAACCTCTAAAAAGATCTGTCTCTTCCAGCTTTGTGAGGAGGAGGAGGAGCCTGCTGGGAAGTGACATTCTCAAGCTTAACACTCACACTCTTTTTCTCAAAATCTTACTGTTTCTGACCAGACATGCCAGGGACACCATCCCAGCTCTCTGCACTTCTCAGGGTATAGAAGCCCTGGCAGGAATCCACAGCCTCGGGAAACTGCTGGACCCTCACTAGAAATGGCACCTACCCCTCTCTGGGCCCCCATAGCTCCAGCATTAGTTTGGATGGAGATTGGCAGAGCATCCATGCAGGGATTTTGCCAGTGTCCCCAGCAGCCCTTGGGCAGCTGTCCCAGCTGTGCCTGCCTGCACACCCCTAGCACACCAGCTCCAGTCCCGAGGGTAGCCCTATTGCCCAGTCTGCTGCGCTGGGGCCCCACTTTAAGCACATGAGCCTCCAGCCTGTTTCCTCAGGAGCATCTGGCCAGGTAAATACACTCCTCCCTCCTGCTGGTGCCCACCCTACTCACACTCCTGGGAGCTGGTGTTGTCTCTGCTCTGTAGTCCCCCGAAATGGTCACCCTTTCTTCAAGGCCCTTCAAGTACATTCTAGCATAAGCTGCAGAAGGGCAGCACTGGAGTGTGTCAAAGGCAAGAGACCCTCGTGTTTCCAGAACACCTGCACCCATGGGCTGAGTCTTTAGGGTCCCACAACCAGGGAAAGAATCCCACTGCCGTGTTTGACACTGAGCAAATAAAGGCTGAGCTGCTGTCTATGGTGTTCCTGTTGGAGCAGTCCAGTGTGTTGTCCATACATGAGTGGACACATGTCCTACTCCCTATTCTAATCTGGAAGACCTCTTCTGGATGAGCTTTCTCAGGGAGCAAGAAGAAACTGGGTGGTTTTCAGGTTGGGTGAAGAAAGCATCAACTGCCGGGAAGAGGGAGATGGGAGACTCACAGCCCACCCGAGCACCGGTGCTACCCCTCCAGCGGGAACTGCCCATCTCGTCCCTGTCCTACCTCCAGGAGTGACAGGCCTGGGCTGTGCCTGGCCCTACTGCACCATGACTGTGACAGGAGATGACAGGACAGGACAGACCAGACCAGACAGCCAGCAGTAGGCACGGGGTGCTTCTTGCACTTCACTGGAGTTACCCACACCATCTCTCCTCGTTTATCTGTAAACACAGGCCAAACACAGGGGACATCCTGTGCTCTGTGTTGACTCTACTGAACGGCTCTAAGGGGACACCAGTCGACCGTCCAAATGTTTACTCACAGTGTGGTACAAGGGGGCAATTGGATCTGTCTTCAAAAGTTCCCCCACCCTTTGGGGTACTAGGGGGGTTTTAGGATCTATTGCAAGAAGAAAAAGTCAGATTTTAGGGCTGAAGACAACATTTCAAAATCTGGCTTTAAATAAACATGGAATTAAAAAAAGAGAGCGAGTGAGCGAGCAAAGGAGCCTCCGGCAGCCGAAATTAGAAGCAGCCAGCCCTGGGCAGGGAAGCCATCTGTGACTGTAAAGCAGCATGGAAATGTCTGGGCTTCTCACCCCGGCAGGAAAAGCTGGTGATGGCAGGTACAGCTCTGCTGTCTCCGGTGTGGAAGGACCCATGGGGACACGCTCAGGACTTCTCCCAGGGTGTCCTCCAACTCCATATTCTGAAGAGCAGAATCCCTTTCCCCACCCAGAAATATCTTCAACCACTTTTGAAGCACTGCAAGTCATTTAGGAGGCAGAGCGATCAGATGGCATCTGTCTCAGGGGGCAAATGAAGGAATACCGGGGGTGTGAAGCCAAGTTCCTCTCTCATCTTTGCCCCGGGGGCTGAGTGACCACCCAATCCTGAGGGCCCTGTGAGAAGCAGGTGCGCCGAGCCAGCACACCCCATGCTGGGCAGCTGCTATCCTCTCAGCATGCTCAGTCACAGAGGCGCTGACCCTGTTCAGTCTTCCTGCCCACCCAGTCACTGGGCAAAGCCAGCATGAGCTGGCTGCAGAGTCTCAGGTGGTCTGCCCAGAGGTCAACTTCCCATCCAGATGGCACCATGGCACCACCTTCATTCCAAACCTGGCTGTGGTCCCTAAGGTGCTGTGTACCAAAGCCTGGGCCGAGACCTAACCCTGCCATGCACTCCTCCCAACGCCTGGCCTGGCTCTACCCTCGTGGCCAAAGCAGCCAGTGCTGTTCCTCAGGCACAGCCTGTCCTTCCTCTGGACCTCGCCCTCCCTGCCTCACCTTGGCAGGCACAGGAGGGCCTGGCTGTAGAGGGCTCCATGGCAGGCCTATCACCTGCGGGAGTTATTTAAGTCTGCATTGTCACTTAATGTATTCTGATAGGTAAGTGGGTGACCGAGCTGGCAGACGCAGGATGACGCTGGGATGCAACAAGAGGAGCAGCAGCACCCTAGGAAGCTCGAGGCTCGTTCAAGCCCCTGTGCTCACCCCCACGCTGCCTCCCACGGCACCTGGAGTCACGCCGATGCGATGTGCAGGTTATATAAGGGGGCTGGTTGCTGGGGAACCTCTTCCAGCAACACCCCCCCACACCCAGGGCAGCAGGGCAGATTCCAGTAGGAGGTCACAGCTCCATCCCCTCCACCCTCAGCAGAAAGGCCCTCTGCCCTCCCAGCCTGGCCTGTGTGGAGGCCGCAGCAAGCCTGGGTCGGAACTTTCCAGGCCATCTCTCTAGAAGAGCCTCAACTGGACCAAGCACAAAGGACCCTAAAGAGCCCAGGAAGCCATGCCCATACCTTCCAGGCATGGAATCTCCCTGGAGACAGCCCTGCCCTGCATTTTCCTCCCAGTTGCACTCTGTCTCCATCCCAGAGGAGGTAACACCAGAGATCACTGGATGTGCTGAGCTGGATCTGCACCATCTATGGCCAGAAATGTGGCCCATGTTGTGGTCAGGGAAGAAAGCCCTGGAACCAAGTCAGGTCACGGACAGAAAACCTAAGATGTGGTCAGGAAGAAGGGTGGGAGGAGCTTATACCTGGAGGGTGGGAGGGAGAGGTCACCAGCTGGAACCACAGCTGGTGCCCTGTGACCTGAGGTCTTATGAGCTGCAAGGCCAAGACCCTGAGGCCCCATGTACCTCTTGGACAGGACCCCTTTGCAGAGTGCTACCCCCAGGGTGCTGTCTGTCTAGCAGTACAGGACCACAGGGGTCATTGCTCCAACTTCTGATCACACAGTAAAAGAGAAGGGATGCAGGGTCTGGCAGCTTCCAGGGTGGAGTGCAGGCGAACTGGGGGCTTGTGTCCACACTGCTGCCTCCTTTTAGCAGGCTGAATCCCACACCAGTTTTATATTTGCACACTTACTGTAAAGTCTCCCTCACTGTCATGCAATAATGACCCATTAGGCTTAACTGAAGTCCATAGCTTATCCAGATTTCTTGTACCTTGTGTCTTCTTTTTGTCCAGAATCCCTCGTGACCTTTAGTTTTCCTGTCTCCTGGAGCCGCTGTGGGCCTGCAGTTTTGCAGACTTCCCTTGTCTCTGACAGTGGTTGACAAGTTGAGGGCAGTGGTCATGGATTCTATAGCCTGCCCTCTGATGGCATTTACCTGTTTTTCTCATGACTGGACAGGCGCTTGGGGTTTAGGGAAGAAATGGAATAGGTAATGTGCCCTTTTTGTCATGTCACATGAAGGGTCCATGCTGTCACCGTGACTTCTTGCTGGTATTGCCCTTGTTACCTGGCAGTGTCAGTGACATGGGATTCCTAGTCCATTGGGCTCCACCTCCCTGAGGTACCCTCACTTTTTAAAGGATAGCCTCTCTCCCAACTCTCTGGGCAACATTTGAGTGTTCCTCATGTCTTGTCTAACCCTAACACACGGCGGGCTCACTAAGCTCTAGGTCCAGCTCTCTGGACTCTTCATGCCCCTCCATGGCCTGACTCCTCCCAACAGGGCTATGCAGCAGCCCCATGCTGCCATGCAGAGGAAATGGCTCCTGGAACTGACTCCTTGACCCTGTGTTGCACCCTAGGCCTGCCAACACCCTGTCTGACCCTGTCCTTCTTGCCCTGGCAGGCAATGGCCTGACACAGAAATGGGGCCCTGCCCTGCATGCTGGACAAAGCTGAATGTGCTGGAGGCAGCTGTGACAGCCTTGCTACTGGCAGAGAACTCCCCACCCAGCCCAGTGTGTTCTTGCTGATTAAGTGGCTGGTCAGTGGGTCTGAAGAAGGCAGCCAGCTGTCCTGTGGGTTCAGGAACCAGGAAAACAGTGCTCCCCACACAGTTCTGCCTAGTGACCTGGTCAAGGGACCTGCTGTGCAGGGAGGAAATGGGTAGCAAGGGTGGAGAGGATGTAGAGGAGGACCCTCCTGACTCTGTCCTGGAAACATGCAGACCAGCTCCTGTGTCTTCTGGCCTCTACCGCTCTCGAACTTTCTGGTTACTGATTACAAGTGCTCAATCCAGGGGTGAGAAAAGGGAGTAGTAATTCTGACTGGGTGGACCCTTCCCTTGGAGAGAGACGAAGCTTCAGGCTGAGGAGCCAGTGCCCCCAGCGAGCCAGTCAGCATCCCTTCACAGTCCCCTATGATTTCCGCAAAGGACTACCCTCTCAGACCAAGCTCAGCTGAAGCTGGCTGGGCAGGTCAGAAGAAGATGGAGAAGAAAACAGGTTAAGGCTTCGATGGGTGGTCACTTCATAAAGGACCTTCTGTCGAGCAAAAACTCCCAATCACTGTGCTGCCTTGCCAGGGGAACAGCTTGCTTGAGATGCAAAGGCTGTCATCCTGCAATTAAATCTGAGACCCCCCTTCCTACGTGACGTTGAGATGAAGCCACTTACATAACACAACTAAAAATAAACTGGTGGAGACATGCACACTGACGCTCCCTGCCCCCAGCCCCTCTCCAGAGCTGCCCACCTGTGGTGCTGTTGACCTGGGGTCAGCAGCTAAAGCTCTGTGGGTCAGATTCAGGGTCCAAGGTTGCTCCTGCATCTGACTCTGCCTCAGTATGGTGCCAGTGCACATGGAAGGCCTGTTGCTAGTGCACAGGGCAGCAGACCTTCTAAGTCCAGAGCTGGGGAACTACAGAGCTCCATGGCTACAGTGCCCTTTGGGGACACTCTGCCCAGAAGAGGATGGACAGTCACAAGAGAGAGGGAAAACCAGAAGCATGTGGATTCCCGTCTGTCTCTGCCCTCAGTGATTCTTGACAAGCTGCTCACTTGAAAAAAACTGCTCCCACCCCACCCCCCAAGAACCTGGGCTTATGTACTCCACCCCCAGCACAGTGCAGAAAGGCCCAGACCTGGGCCATGCAGTGGATCTGGGATAGTGTGTGGCTGTACGTCTCTGTGGACCCAGACACCTCTCCTGAGGCTATTCCTCCTGAGAGGATACAGGAAGAGCAAAGCGTCTCCACTGTGACATTTGACATGGCTTCCTTTTGCTCATTGTGGACAGGGTGTGCTGATGGGTGAGATTCCACACATGGGCCAAAAGTTTCTAGCCATGCTGACTGCCAAATCTTTAGTAGAATAAGCAGATTCTTCAGCTGCCCGACACACTCTCAGAATCAGGAAAAAGGAACAAGGTGAGGTTTGTAAAGACCTTTGAATGCCTCCCAAATTAAAAAGGGGTCGGGGCAAGGACAGCCTCCTAACCACGCCAAGCTGGTGGAGGCTACCTGGAGATACCCAGTCTGTCAGCCCACCTACCACTCGCAGGCCTGAGTTCTTACCTTGGTACACACCACCTCTACCTGGGCCACCCACACTGTGGGTGCATGTCCTTGGATGCTGGAGGTGCAGGACAGACAGAGGCAGGCCCTGATTGTCCTCCATGCCCAGGGAGTCCTGCCCCAAGCCTGTGAAGTGGAAGGTGAGATATGTGCTCATTCTCACTCTCTGCAGGGTTTCCATGGGCTCTCTTCTCACCACTGACTTCTGTGCCAGCTGTCCAGACTCCTGCTCAGCTGCTAGATGAAGGTACCGGTACAGCCCAGGCCTGAGGATGCTGGAAGGCACGCTGGGTTCCAAGTTGGTCACTGAATGTGTTTTACCCCTGGAGAGGAGCAGGGTGGCCACAGGGGGAGCAAGCCCAGGACAGTACTCCAGGAGCTTCTAGAAGGTGAAGTGGGTCAGGGCTATGGGAGCTCTTTTGGAAGGGCTCTCCTCTCTCTCCTGTCTTATGTCTCCTGGGGGCAGAAAGTGCAAGAAAATTCTCCCCAGGTGGTGAGGAGACATTCCTGCCCCGTTTTTGCTGCCAGCCTCCATCTGTCATTCTGGTCCCGGACCCTCACTTCCTTGGATAAGCAGGGGTTCCTGCCTCTATTGGTCCCTGACCCAGTTCAGGTGGGCAAAAGTCAGTCAGTCCTAGGGCCCAGGTGTTAACATCGTAGGGTGTACATGCATTGCACCACGACGGTCCACAGCAAGGCGAAAGAGGTGACGCTTGACACTTAGCAGTCTCAGAAGCCAATCAATACATGCCCTCATTTGTAAGAGCCACTTTGAGCTGGTTTTCTGTCACAACCAAAAAAATCTGAGAAAATAAACACACAGGGATGGACTCTAAAACACTATAGTGACAAAGAAGAAAAGGGGAAGGTGGGGGCCCACAGCTGGAAGGAAAGACGCCAAGGGAGAGGAGGCAAGCTGTGGCCCTGTGCTCCTGAATCCCACTTCAGGGCAGTGCAGGGGGCCTGCCCGAGTCCCCTGCTGTGTCTGGGAGTCTGACATGTGCGTGTGAACCTCTGTCCTCTGGGTGCCTGTTCTTGTTGAAGGGATGAATGGGTGACCGGCTGTCCAAGAACAGGACGCTGGCAGAGGTGTCAGGCGTAATTAAAGGGGAGCGTGCTCTGGTGTTTTACAATGTAAGGCAAATAACTCCTCTATGTTCCTCTAATTTATGTAAATATTTCTCCAAAGGAATCGTACCAGGAACCCCGTGTGCCAACACGTCCCGGTGGCCACCCAGCTGCACCTCCCAGGGCCTTCGCTAAGCCCCGGTCAGCCCCCTCCTCCCTGCCTCCCGGGTGCTCTCCCCCACCCGCCTCGCCTCTCCGCAGAGGCCCCCAGGTCCCCCCTCACCAGGGTCCTCCTGCCAGACCGCCAGCCTCCAGAGTCCTACCTCCAACTGCCCCTGCGCCCGCCCACCTCA